AATTCAGTGCCTGCTCTTCCAAATCCTTTCATGAGGAAGTTGTATCCAGACATGAGGTCTCCCCTCAGTCTCCTCCTCCCCTGGCTGAACAGACCAAGTGACAAGCCCAGCATGGGAGCAGGGTGAGGTGAAGGAGGCACCTGCAGCCTCCTTCCACTGTGGGTGCAGCTCCAGGGTGAAGATGGGATCTTCCAGCTCACGGAAGAACCTCTTCAGCACATCAGTGACATCCTCAATGAAGTTGTCATGGATGCGCAGCTTGACATTGCGAGCGTCACGCCGGAACTCCTCCATCAGCACCTTGATCCGAGACTTGGCTCCATTCTTCCGGTAAATCCCCTCGTGCCGCAGCCCTGGGACAGGGACATGTGTCATAGTATGTTAATGGGTTGGAATGGACCTCAGAGATCATCTAGTCCCAACCCCCTGCCCTGGGCAGGGACACCTCCCACCAGAGCAGGTTGCTCAAGGCTTTAGCCAATCTGGCTTTGAACACTGCCAGGGTTGGGGCAGCCACAGCCTCCCTGGGCAACCTGGGACAGTGTCTCACCACCCTCACAGCAAAATCTTCTGCCTAAGATCTAATCTGAATTTTCCTCTTACCATTTTTCCCCATTAGTCCTTGCCCTGTCCCTGCAGTTCCTAACCAAGAGTCCCTCTGCAGCTTCCCTGGAGCCCCTTCAGCTCCTGGCAGGTTGCTCTGAGATCTCCACACAACCTTCTCCTCTGCAGGCTGAACAGCCCCAACTCTCTCAGCCTGTCCTTGTAGGGAAGGTGCTCTGGTCCTCTGATCAGCTTTGTGGCCTCCTTTGGACCTGCTCCAACAGTTCCATGTCCTTCTCATGTTGGGGACACCAGAACTGTGTACAGCATTCCAGGTGAGTGGCAGAGTGGGAGAATCCCCTCCCTCCCTTGTTGCCACACTCCTTTGGATGCAGCCCAATATCTGGTTGGCTTTTTGACATAGGGTCACAGAGGCTGAGTTCTGCCCAGAATATCCCTAATGAGGCTGATGACCCCAGAGTACTGCTTTCTGCCTAGACCCACTGGCCACCTGCCATGTGTTGGAGCTCACCATACTGCGTGATGAAGGCGATGCAGCTGTCCACGATGATGGGGATGTCCCCTCGGCTCAGCTGCTGGTCCCTCAGCGCGTTGCCCCGGCCCCCAGCCGAGGCCTGGATGTCACTGTACCATGCTGCAGAGTCCACCCGTGTCAAGCCCTGCAGGTAAAATGTCCTGAGAACAACAAGGGCAGAAAAGAGGGAATGAAAGTTGCCTGAGAGGCAGGTTACCCCCTTTGCCCAGGATACAGAGAAAAGCAGCCAGGCTGAGCTGAGAGACACCCTACCCCAGTGAGAGACCCTGGACAAGCCCCTTGGTTACAGCTCTGCTGTCCCAGTAGCATCCCCACCTTGGACTTAGGATCAGCCATGCATGAGTGGCTATACTCTGAGCTACCCGCTGTGGTTGCTTGGCTCCTCCCTTGTCATTCCCACAGCCAGAACTCACCTCCCCATCTCCACCAGGATCAGCAGTTCCTTCTTCTCTGGAGTCTCTGTGGGGGGAACCAGACCTGCATTGGGGTGAGAAGCAGAGGAGTCAGAGCCATGAACAGCCACCAGCCACGTGGAGCTGTCCTGGGCTGTGACAGCACTCACTGAGCTCCTGCAGCCGCCGGAGGTTGATGCTGTCCTCAGCCCCATCCTCCTCAGCAGGGCAGATGAAGAGATGTGCTTTCTGGAGGATGAAGAAAGCTTGCTGCCACCGCTCCGGGTTGAGCATGCACTTGTAGCGCAGTTGGCCCACACGCTGGAACTCGTAGCCCAGCAGACAGTGACAGCTCACGGGGGTGAACCACTGTGGGATGGAGCAAGACATGAGCTGGATGAAGACAGGGCTCATCCTCTGAGTGCAGACCCCCATGAGGATGAGGACAGGTCACCAGGGAGGATGGGAGCCCATGGAAAAGGAAGGAGGGTGCTTGTCATGGAGGATTAGGAGGAGTATGCTGAGCTGGGAGGAATCACAACGGGGAAGTAGAGACTGAGCCTGGTGACACACTAGTGTGCTGGGGCTCACGTTGCCAGTGGGAGCCCATGGAGAGGGAAGGAGGGTGCTTGCCACAGAGATCAAGAATGTGTGGAGCAGAGAGGAGTCATAACAGGGAAGCACAGACAGAGCCTGGAGACCCACTGGGATGCTGGGGCTGGGCCTCGCCTTGCCAGTGGGAGCCCATGGAAAGGGGAGTGCTTGCCACAGAGGATCAAGAGCATGGGGAGCTGGCACAAATCACAATGGGGAAGCAGGGACAGATCCTTGGGAACACACTGGAGTGCCAGGGCTCACCTCACCAACAGGAACCCATGGAGAGGGAAGGAGGATGCTTGCCACAGTGAATCAAGAGTGGGGAGCTGGGAAAAATCACAACAGGGAAGCAGGGACAGATCCTTGGGGACACAGTGGGGTGCCAGGGCTCACCTTTCCAATCGCACTGGCCCAGGCTTGCAGTGTCTCAGGCCCATCAGTTCCCAACTGCTGCACTTTCTCTCCAGTGAGGAAGAGCTCAAGAGTGAAGCGAAACCTGCAGAGGATGACTCAACACATCAGGGCAGTCCCTATTCCACTCTGCACCCAGAGCCATCCCAGCTTACTGCACCAAGCAGGGAACTGCCCCTGGGTGTCCCCAGGCTCTCTGGGCATGCAGTGGGGGCATAGCAGGGGGTACCTTTCCGTTGGGCCAGGGCTGGTGAGGGTCTGGGCTCTGCTGGCACCCAGGGAGATGAGGTCTCCACTCTCAATGTGGCCCAGGGGCTCAGTGCATTTCTCTGTCTCAAAGAAGAGCAGAGCTCTCTCCAGGGAACACCACGTGCGCTGGAATTCTGTGGGAATGGGGAGTCAGTGGCACTGGGATGGACATCCCATTGGCTGCCCTCCTGTGCTCCCCACACTTACCCTCTTTGCTCTTCTTGGCACCTGGGAGCTTTGGAGGGGCTGTGGCCCGGTACAGGTACCCACTCTGTGTCACTGGCTGTGTGATCTCGTTGTAGACACCCTCTGGACCTGGTTCCTGGGCACGGGGGCTTCCTGTGGGGAATGGCACTGGGAGTGGGGTGGGAGAAGGCATCCACCAAACTGTGGGTACTGGAGGGGCAGGGAGACCCCACTCATGCAGATGTAAGCAAGGGAGTGTGCCAGACATGGGGTTCCCTGTAAAGGGGCTCCAGAGGAACCCGCTGCCTTGCCCCATCCTATAATGGGATGCAGGTGGGTCCCCCAGGGAACCACAGCTCCTGGTGCCTTGGCTGTTCCCAGCCTTGGGGCATACTGTGGGGGACAGGGGCAGTGGCAAGGAGGAAGCTCCCCCATCACAGCCAGATGGGGCTTGAGGGTCCTCATTACCTGAATGGTTCCTGAGCCTTTTGCTCTCTGAGCCCCACCACTGGTCAGCCCCTGGGGCCACCTCGTGGGCAGCAGGGTCAGATGCCAGCCCAGCCTCCGAGGATGAGAAGAACTGCAGGATGGTCTTGAGCAGGGCTGGTCCTGCCACTGCAGCGCACAGTGCCTGGAATAAGAGAGGTGCCTTTAGGGACCATGTTCTGCCTCATGGAGACCCCCAGAGGTGTTTGAAAGCAAGGAAATTGGGACACAGCCTCCCACCTGAGTGCCCACAACTGTCTGGCACAAGGATGTGAGCACACACAGCCAAGCAGGAACTGCTGGCATTAGCCAGGAGCTCTGGGCTGGTTCCCAGCACCCAGAGGTGGTCCCTACCTGGAGCACATCCTCCTGGGTGGCATATCGGGGATGGGGCAGGCGGTACCGTCCCTCGCGGTACTTGCGGGAGATGAAGTCTCGTCTCTGCTCGGCGCTGGCGTCAGGGTGGATGGCCTCAGGCGCAGGCAGCCGAGCAGCCCAGAACCGGTTGGCACGGTCATTTCCCAGCACGATGAAGAGCTGCAGGAGAGTCCCATGGTCATGGAGAGCACCAGGCTAGTGGGAGGAGCAGGATTCCCAGCGTTTCTGCATCCTGAGGGACACTGTGGCGGTGCTGCCTTGTACGTGATGCCAGTGCCCTGCCCTGAGTGTCCCTACCTGCACTATTTCATTGGACCAAACGCTGGTGTCCAGCTTCAGGCTTTGCACCTTGGAAATGTTGGAGCCCAGGCTGCGGTGCTGCCCTGTGGGAGCAGAACAGTGAGCACCTCTTGATCTGCCAGGGAACTGGCACCCAACTGGGACCCAACTGGGACCCATACCCCAGCAGGCACCCTGCCTGCCCAGTCAGGCCCAGTGAGCACCCCTTGATCTGCCAGGGAACTGTGACCCAAGCTGGGACCCAACTGGGATCCAGCCAAACCCAGCCCACACCTCTCCAGAGCCCCCCTGTACCCCCCAGGGAGTTGCCCTGACCTGCACACTGCTTACAGATGACCACACACAGGTTGATGGATGCCCAGTCAGGACTCTGAGCCCAACAGTCTGCACAGTACTTGTTGGCTTTATTGGACCAGATCTTCTCTGCCACCTCATAGTCATAGAGCATCTCAGCAATGGCCTCCTGCAGTGCTTCCATCCACTCCCTCTTCTCCTTCTCTGACTCTGCCACGAAGCTGTGAGCACCAAAACTCAGGGGAATGCAGCACCCAGCACCCAGCTGCTCCTCCCACCTCATCCCACCTAGATTCTGGGCTACCTGAAGGTTTTGGAGGGGGTGATGAGCTCGAAGCCGCGGTTCTTGGCCTCGCGGATGGTGGAGCCACGCATCTCGATGAAGCACATGCCAATGCCCATTTTGAAGAACTGCAATTCAGAGTGACATTGATGTTGGGTCTGCAGTGCTGTGACTGTGGTGGACACACCACTCTGGACATGCTTACAATGTTGAGGCTGAAGCTATAGAGCACCCCCAGCATCCCATCCCTGTGTTGCCTCAACAAGACCCTGTCATGGCTCTCAGCCATCTCATCTGGGCTGACATGAGATTGCCTCTCTGTGACCAGTGACAGGACCTGAGGAAATGGCCTGAAGTTGTGTCAGGGGAGGGTTAGTTTGGATATTAGGCAAAGGTTCTTCCCCCAGAGGGTGTCTGGGCACTGGAACAGCTCCCCAGGGCAGTGGTCACAGCCCCAAGCCTGACAGAGCTCAAGGAGCATTTGGACAATGCTCTCAGGCACATGGTGGGATTCTTGGACATGACTTGTGAAGGGCCAGAGTTGGACTAGATGATCCTCATAAGTCCCTTCCAACTCTGAATATCCTGTGATTCTGTGGCATAAAACAGTGTAAACACATTATGCCTTCAAATGAAACTCAAGTTCTGCCCACAGTCCCTGAAACTCGACCATCCACATCCCTCTGTTTTAACTCAGGGACACTCATAAAACAAGTATTGAGGCAAAACCTCAGAGCTGATGCTGCTTAGTGCAGACTAGGCAACCTGGAAAAGAGGGCATGGAAAAAACCCAAGTTGCTAAGAAAATTTAGCAGGAAGAAAGTGGGGAGTTCTGTGAGCAGCAGGGTGTGAGGTGACAGCAACCTGCTGCTTCCTGTGGATCAAGCCCCACTTCCAGCAGGTATGTTTGCTGGTGATTTCATGGTCATTGATCCCTCTCTCCTGGGATGGATTGGGATGCTTTGGTGGGACTTAGACCTAAGTGGCTGGCAGAGATGATGATAAGCTGGTGACAGTGAGGAGACTGGGAGAAGAGTCCATTCCAGGTACCCACTACTGCTGCACTGGGTAGGACCTCCAGCTCCCTGCTGTGCCATTCCCTTTCTCCCAACTATCTTTTTCCTCTCTGCTCTCCCTTTGGCACCAGCCCTGGCTAAGCTCCCTCCATCCCTCTCATCCCACCTGCCGTTGGCACAGCCCTGGCTAAGCTCCCTCCATCCTTCTCACCCCACCTGCCACTGGCACAGCCTTGGCTAAGTGTCCTCCATCCTCTCATCCCACCCACCATGGGCACACCCCTCTGTGACAGGTTGGGTCTGCTCTGGACACAAACCTGCTCACTCTTGTACAGCCACATCTCAGGCAGGCTCAAGGCTGCAAACACCTTGGACTTCTGGCCCTTCAGCTCCAGGGTTCCTGACTTCTGGCAGTGAGCAGTGTTGGCAGGTCGGGGCCTGGAACCCATCAGTCTCTGGTCCATCAACTTCTTCTGCAGCGTGGAGCACCATTCATTCCTCTGGGCTGGGGACCAGGCATGAGGGAGCAGGTCTGAGCCCTTCCCAACAGCCCTGGCATGGAGCAGAGCACCCACAGACATGGCAGGGGGGGTTTTGGGGG